AACAAAACAGAACATAAGTTGTGTAAAGACATATATAACTTCACAATCAAATGAAAAGTTCCATGAAACAAGACAATGTTTAGCAGACAAAGCTACTAGAGCAACGTAAGCAATGCCCAGAAAAACTGACAAATAGTCATCTGATAATTAGTCATAACTCTTGTTTGATGCCTTCAATATAGCACTGAATGTATATCCCTGACTGCAACAGTGCCCGAGATATTATGGTTATACATATTAATGAGGTCATATGACCTTAAATGGTCATCTGATATGTTAATTATATCTCTTGTCTGATGCCTTCATGATAGCACTTGTTGCGAGTCACTATCTGCAGCAGTGCTTACAGTATTTACAGTTATGCATATTAATTAAATCACATGATCCCATTTTTAAAAAGTAGGTAATAAATATGAAATAAACATTTCAAACCTGAAGTATAATCAGATCTGTGTATTATCCAAAAGCAACTATGGATCAAGTTTCATTGAAATGGTGGTTGTCAAGATACATTGTATCTTATAAGTAATTTATGCAAGTTAGTTAGTAAGCACAAAATTTAACCCTAAACTAAACATGTATATGGTTTATCCCAGAGCAAATATGTGCCAAGTTTCATTGAATTCTGAAGAGTGTTTAAGATATTGGTCAAAAAGCTAAGAATTGGCAAATTAGGTAATCAATATGCACAGATTGCAATCAAAAACTAAGCAGGTCTGCACTTTATCCCAGAGCATCTATGTACTAAGTTTCATTAAAATCTGTTGAATGGTAATTGAGAAACAAGTGAAAATGCTTAAAATTGGGTGATTAAAATGCAGATCGTCAATATGCACTGTCAGCATCCTTTATTTTATGTTTTGTTATATTACCACAAACCCTTCAAATGGAAGTGTGCATGGAATCATGGGAAGAAACTGTGCGCATTGTGATAACTGTCATAAAGGTGATTGACAGGTCATACTTGTTTCAACTCTGGAAGGTCAGTGTGTTCTACCAGGTGTGCTTGTAATTTACATAACAAAGGGTGTTTACAACTTTGAAAGGAGAATTGGAATCTACCAGGTGTGTTGTTATTTGAATAACAACGGGTGTTTATGATCTACTGAGTTGCCTACGTGACACAGCTGCTAGCAAGATTACATTCTGATTGGCTCATGTGGAAACCAAGGTGGTGACACTGAATCATGCCTATAAATTGGACAGACCACGGTTACTAAAAAACCGTGGACAGACTAAAGACAGTTTGGGTCGATCATTTCAACTTGGTGTCCGTCACTTCAACTTGCTTTCCTGTGTGTTCTGCTACGATACGATATTACAGGCTACAACCATCATTCTGTGAGACTTGTATGAACTGCTCTGCGATCTCCTGCTTTCAGCGGTGCCCTCCAGAATACCAGCGTTCCTCTGCAAGCAAGACTTCTGTTTTTCTCCATTGTTGTGTTGAAGAAGCCATTGACTGTCGTTCAATAATACATCCTGGAACTGAGTTATCACCAATGCACACTTCCCTAAGCAATTCCCTATTTTAGTGAATTTATTCATTGTATTTTGCTGTGCTTTATTTCTTGTAATTATTTTGAGAGATATTAAAGCCAGGAG